GATTATTTTTCTTTTATCAAGAACAATTTTCTAGCCAAGAAATATTTTCCTATGTATGGGACAAAAAGAAAAATTATCTTAAATCAATTTTCTTGATAAAATTAAATTTCTCAAATCAAGAAAATTTTTCTCGATCAAGAAAATCTTATCTAGAAAAATTTTCCTATGTATGGGACAAGATAATTTTGCTTAAATTAAGAAATTTTTGCTCAAAACAAGTTTTTTTTTCTTAAAATAAGCTTTTCAATTTTTGCAGTGTTGACAAAACGTTGCTTACTTAAGCTCCCTAATACAACAACATCACTGCGACCTGATCGCATTCACTCCGTAGCAGTGTTATTCATACTTACCGGTAGCACTCTCGACATCAATAGCAATAGCTTGCGTAGTTTTAAATCTTGAGGAAGGTATCACTTTTGACGTAAAAATTTTGCTCGGTTGTGGTTCAGCCTCGGGCTCTTCAAATGTTTGTTCCAATAACGATCCGTGACTGTAATCTGAAACACACAAAAAAAGGTTTTCTGATTATAACTCAACTCAGTCACATGCGAGAAAAGTGCTACGGATTTTCTTCAGTTTTCTCCTGTAGTAACACTACACTAATAAGAATGATCCTCACTGGACCTCTAGGATGAACAGTTTATGATAGAGCTATCCACTGTAAATAAAGTTAGTTTAGTTTAGGTTTCCTCCTGTAGTAACACCGGATTAATAAGAGATGACCCTTACTGAAACTTTCGGGTATAAAGTTAATTTAGTTTAGATGTCCTCCTGTAGTAACACCGGATTAATAAGAGATGACCCTTACTGAAATTTTCGGGTATAAAGTTAATGCACTACTACCTAGCAATCCAGATGCTGCTGATGGATTAGTATTATTCTTTGCCAACTCTTGCATTAAACGCTGAAAAAATACATGTAAAACAATTAGCCTTTCTCAAGCCACCATTTTTGGGTGGCTTTTAAATTTGCTTTGTAAATGGTTGGTTTATTTTAAAAAATTGCTTTTCACATCGTTTTACTGTCGATGCAATGGAAGTGTTGATAAAATATTGCACCAGTTCCTTTCCTCAAGTTGATCAATTCATTTGATAGAAAATTGATCAACTTCCTGTTACTTTTAGATGAGCCAATTAGATTTCGTTTCAGAACCGATTGACCAATAGGAAACGCACAGGAAGTAAAAAGAAATTTGAATTCGTATGAATTGATCAACTTGAGGAAATGAATTCATGCAATATTTTATCAACACTTCCATTGCATCGACAGTAATTGTCTGCAACGGTTAACAAGAATTAGATGCCATCCAAAAATGGCGGATATTCGTCATCGTAAGAAAGGCTAATTGGGTTTCACTGAGCACTATCGTGCAGCAGATAGTGGCCAACCTGCAATTATCAGAGTGAGAAAATAATGATAATTCTTTTCATTATATGTACAGTAGTAGTTTTCTATTTGGTGACCAACAAATAGAATTGAAAGATGTGGTGTAATTTTCTTGCTGTAATTCGTAAATCTATACTGTAATTATACCTCTTTTAATCTGTCGATCTGTTGAAGATGTTGCTTTTTTAATTCAGCCTCTTTTTGTATATACCTGAACATAAGACATAAGAAGACTTGACACGCAGTCGTTTCCATGTGAGGATGGACAGTCGCCAGCGCTTCTAAGGCTGGTGTTTCAATATTTGGATATCTTACCATTTTTGTTCTTGACTTTTTTGGAAGTAGGTGGGTGCTCGAACATGGAATCGTAAGATGAGGGTATCATTGGTCACGTTCAGGTAACCTTCATCAGCCTGAACGAAAATAAGACAATACGATTCATTTTTGGTAGTCCAAAGGATTGATGATATACCCCACAGTGATGTTGATGTCTTTCACCTGTATCAACAAACAGTGATCATTTCTTGCAATGTACAACAGTCTCATCATAATTTCCCATCGAGTTTTCTCTCAGCTTGACTCTACCAAACACCGCAGGAGTTCTCGGGTTTCCTCCTGTAGTAACACTGGATCAATGAGAGATGATCCTTACTGGACCTCTAGAGAGAACAGTTTAGAACTGATAGAGGTATCCAGTATATATATATATAAAGTTAGTTTAGTTTAGGTTTCCTCCTGTAGTAACACTGGGTCAATAAGAGATGAATCCTTACTGGACCTCTGGGAAGAACAGTTTAGAACTGATAGAGTTATCCAGTATAAATAAAGTTAGTTTAGTTTAGGTTTCGTCCTGTAGTAAGACTGGAGCAATAAGAGATGAATCCTTACTGGACCTCTAGGAAGAACAGTTTAGAACTGATAGAGTTATCAAGTACAAATACAGTAAAGTTAGTTTAGTTTAGTTTAGGTTTCGTCCTGTAGTAACACTGGATCAATAAGAGATGATCCATACTGGAGTACTGGACCTCTAGGAAGAACAGTTTAGAAGTGGTAGTTAATACTAACGAGAAGATCAAGACGGAAAAATCTGTTGTATCCCCAACATTCGCCAACTTCAAACTCCGAGGCTGAAATTCAAACAAATGCATGGAACATTAGCGCGTCATTTTGAAATAATCATATGTAATGCAATATCTCAAATATCTATCTGCTTACCAAATTCTCGTATTATGTTCTTGCTTGAATTTGGCGACGAATGGTGCACCAGTTCAATACGGTATTCGTATCTATACAGATTATGGAAATTGAAAACATTAGTATTATACTGTAAGGCCTGGTTTGTACAAGAGACTGATTATCTTCTTGACGAACTCGAATAAAGGAATGATAATTTTTTTCTGTGTTGGTGTAATGTACTCAGGTGAATATGATGCTTGTGATGTTACTCTGAGTGTGTATCCACACCGGGTAAGCTTGAAAAATATGCCTGATCACGGTGGGAATCGAACCTATGACCTTTGGAATACTAGCCCAATGCTCTGCCAACAGAGCTACGCGGTCAGGTCGGTTCGAGTATGCGATATTTCGGAACCGAGTCTAGTTCCTTCGATATCAGTGTAATCTAATAATCATGATATTTGCTGTGTTGGTGTAATGTACTCAGGTGAATAAGATGCTTGTGATGTTACTCTGAGTGTATATCCACACCGAGTAAGCTTGAAAAATATGCCTGATCAGGGTGGGAATCGAACCTACGACCCTTGGAAAACCTTCCAAAGGTCGTAGGTTCGATTCCCACCGTGATCAGGCATATTTTTCAAGCTTGCCCGGTGTGGATATACACTCAGAGTAACATCACAAGCCTCTAAGGAATGATAGTTTATCAAATTATTCGTCTGGTAAAACCATGGATTGTAAAATAACGTTATTTTACAATCCATGGTAAAACTAAAAGCGCAGCAAACAGACGGATAATACGGATCACAAATTATCCAGTGCATAGTTTGTCTACAAGTACGAATTTGCGCAGTTCATCGGATGATAATCTTTCTTCTTTCTTTAAAATCTCATTGACTTACTTTGCTGGATCTGGGAGACCGTCATAAAGTTCAAGAAATATCGAGAGGTAATTTCCTCGGACGACTCCATTCCCATCCTAGTAATAAATAGAAAAGAAAGGCCAGTAAATCGACATGGCCGCAGGTTCGAGTCCTGCCAGGGAACGTATGGTTGCATTTCACGCAGTTGTTCCTGGTTAGGTCCAAATGAATGTTTATAAAATTTCCACTCGATAATGGACGACTTGCGCTTTAGACTAAATTTTAATCTAAGTAAGAACAACGAAATCTATCACCACAGCTAGAAAGAGCGCCTTGGAATTAGTAATATTACAAAGTTTGGTTGCGAAATGTTGTAAAATACCAGGCCTTAAAATATCGGTCGGTCACGGACATTGTCCGACCCATTCGTCAAATTGTCCGACGTAGAGAGGAAACCACCGGACATTCTGTCCGACCTAAGTGAAACTGAGGTTTATTCTTTGTCCGACCCGAGTGTATTGGTGTCCAACCGAACTGTAACTTTGTCCGACGCTTTCTCCACGCATGTAATTCAAAACGTACCCTAGTCCAGGACTAGAGGCTGGTATGTTATAAATGGAGAACCAGAGTATTGTATAAAAATGAACCGGAAATGTTGTTTTTAATAATGCCATCGAGCGCGGGGCGGCGGCGAAATGATGAAGTGGAAAACGGGCTTAAATTGTCGAAGTCGTGCTGCTATTATTGGCAAGCAAGTTAATCTTGGCTTAGAAATATAACTTATAAGTATGAATGAGACAAATTATTTAATATCTTCACAATATTTAGTTCAGAATTAATACATTGTGCTGATATTAATTTGTGTCATTCAGACTTATTTCCGAGCCAACCTAAACTGAAGGTCATCGGACATCATCATATATATATATATGTCCGACCCAAAGTAAAAGTCATCGGACATTTTGTCAGACGGCACTGTAAAAGATATTTTAAGGCCTGAAATACGGACAATATAGCCCTTCAAAGTTGGCAAATTTGTATACTTTTGTATTACGTGCGTGAATTGATAACTAAATTAGTTACCAATTTCCACACGTAATAGAAATGTATACAAATTTGCCAACTTCGCAGGGCTATAATTTCCGTATTTTACAACATTTCGCAACCAAACTTTGCAGTTTTTCTAATTTTGATAACTTCTTTCCAAAAATATCCTTTGTTATTCCCAGATTAAAAATTTTTCTAAAGCGCAAGTCATCCATTTCCATCTACAAAACCCTTTCAATTATTATTCACTCTAGTGAGATTACATTATTCTTCAGTTCACTCCCCATTAGGCCTTTTCAGTGACCGATTACATCAAGTATTACGCTTACTTGTGTTACTTACTTACACGGCAAGAAACGCCGAGACCGTTGCTCAACAGGATTGCATCAACCTGAGCGTTTTTTGCCGTGTAGCCAAGACTATTTATCTTACAACAATTGTGATTACTTTCTTAATTGTGTTTATCC